TCCCCCCCCTCTCTCTCTTTCTATGTGTTATGTAGGAGCCTTACTATTTTCTCTATCTCATTATTATTCTTGCGATAATCTCTTCTTTTTTTTTTAATTCATTGAATTAGCACAGAAAATTCTTTTTCTGTTCTATTGATTAAAAGTAATTTGTATAAATATTATAGACGGTGAGTGATATTTTATATTATTTCATAATGTGATATCAGAGATTTTTCTCCTCGAGTTTCACGCATAAAGTTTATTCGATAATTATTTAATGTGTTTTTCTTTGTAAATGGAGTTAGAAACAAAAATGAAAAAGACATCAAATAAATATGTCAAAGATTGATTTGCAAAATGTGTTGATGCATGCCGATGATTAGACTTTAGTTAAACGCATGAGAACAAGGAAGTAATAATAGTAATAATAAAAAAGAAAACAGATAATTAATTATAAGATGTTGTCAAACAGTAGATAGTCATCAAATATCGCCTATGCCTATGACATTATACCGCAAACGTAAAAATTCTCATAGATTTATCAATACTTTTGTTTCTCTTAAATCATAATGGATAATTATCAAGGATATATTGAACGCATAGAAAATTAAAATTCAATAAACTATTTTCCTATGATTTCGACAATCGGTTTTAAATTGATAGAGATTTTGCTAAACCAACATTGCTTGTCTCTATCTAGAATTCTAAGGAAATATTTCTACATTCTTGGCGTTTGATGTTATCTCATTATTGGATAGAGCGCTTTGTGTACGCCAAGAAAAGCCATTCCGATATTCATTATCGGATGAATGAAAGAAAACTAAGTATTCATCATATTTCAGATCGCCATGCATCGACCATCCATGGCTCATCGTGCGTCCATTTCAATGGTAGTCATTGATTACCCATGGACAAAAACTAAAGAAGATGTTGCTGCTTTTTATAATGTTGAAGAGACGAAAGGTCTCTCCGAAGAACGTGTTAAGCGTGATCTTGAAAGATACGGACCTAATGGTAATACAGATGAGAAACACTATACATATGTATATGTAATCCACATTTTTATTTTCACATCATCTAGAATTACCAGCCGAAGAGGGTAAACCACTTTGGAAACTTATCTTAGAACAATTCGACGATCTTCTAGTCAAAATTTTACTTGCTGCTGCTTGTATATCATTCGTAAGTTTAATTTTACTCCAGACTATGATTCCAATTGTTCTTTTTCTTTGGTAATAGGTCTTAGCTTTATTCGAAGAACATAAAGAAGAAGATAGTCTTGTAGCAGCTTTTGTTGAGCCACTTGTTATTCTTCTTATTCTTATTGCAAATGCAACTGTCGGTGTATGGCAGGTCAGTATGATTTAGTTCACTACTGTTTTATTCTAGAAATTCTCTCGAATAAATTAGGAACGTAATGCAGAAAGTGCTATTGAAGCACTGAAAGAGTATGAACCAGAAATAGCTAAAGTTGTTCGACAAAATCGACCAGGGCAAATTCAACGAATTAAAGCTCGTGATCTTGTGCCTGGAGATATTGTTGAAGTAGCTGTTGGAGATAAAGTTCCAGCTGATATTCGTATAACAACGATTTATTCAACAACCATACGCGTTGATCAATCTTTATTAACTGGTGAGAGTGTTTCTGTTATTAAACACACAGATCCAGTACCTGATCCACGTGTAGTCAATCAAGATAAAAAGAATATTCTTTTTTCTGTAAGAAAAATCAGCTTGAAATTTTAGGAATGATATATGTTTCAATTCATTTCTAGGGAACAAATATTGCAGCTGGCAAATGTAAAGGTGTTGTCATTGGAACAGGTTTAAACACTGAAATCGGTAAGAATAACGGAATCCTATTAGTTCGATTTCGATTTATAATTAATGAAACAACATGTTTCATTATTTAGGTAAAATTCGATCTGAAATGGCTGAAACCGAAGTAGAAAAAACACCATTACAACAAAAACTAGATGAATTCAGCGAGCAATTATCAAAAGTATGTGTTCTAATTACACAAGAAAAATATACATCTTTTCCTATTTTCCTTTCAAGGTTATTTCTGTCATTTGCGTCGCTGTGTGGGCTATTAATATCGGCCATTTCAATGATCCCGTACATGGTGGTTCGTGGCTTCGTGGTGCTATCTACTATTTTAAGATTGCCGTCGCCCTTGGTAAGTTTATTTCGTTTTATTTTTATTTCAGAAAAAAAAGTTTATTAACCATATCTACTTGTGTTTTTCTTGTAGCTGTTGCTGCCATTCCTGAGGGTTTGCCAGCTGTTATAACAACTTGCCTTGCATTGGGAACACGTCGAATGGCGAAAAAGAATGCTATTGTACGTTCATTGCCATCGGTCGAAACACTCGGTTGTACATCAGTTATTTGTTCGGATAAAACAGGAACATTGACAACCAATCAAATGTCTGTTTGTCGCGTATGTCTTTCTCTATGCCGATGATCAATGATTGAATGAATGAATGTTGGTATTTTCTGTTTTAGATGTTCATATTCAATAAAGCTGATGGACATGATATATCGGTTGAACAATATGAAATCACTGGATCAACTTATGAGCCAAAAGGAGATGTAATGGTTAATGGACAGAAATTCAATTGTTCTGATCGTAGTGGATTAGTTGAGTTAGCGGAATGTGCAGCCCTATGCAACGATTCAGCATTGGATTACAATGAAGTGAGTTTCGTTGATTTGCAATTTTTGTTTCCAACACAAATGTTCCTTTAATAGACCAAACGAATTTTCGAAAAAGTTGGTGAAGCTACAGAAACAGCGTTGACTGTGCTTGTTGAGAAAATGAATGTTTTCAACACGGACAAATCGCGTTTGTCACCACAAGAAATGGCCATGTCATCGAATACAATTATTCGTCAAAAATATCGTAAAGAATTCACGTTGGAATTTTCACGTGATCGAAAGTCCATGTCTTCATATGTGGTGACTGCTGGACGAGGAGCAAGTAATAGTCAACAATCAGCTAAAATGTTTGTTAAAGGCGCACCAGAATCAGTGGTCGATCGTTGTACACATATTCGAATTGGAACGCAGAAAGTTCCAATGACACCACAAATCAGACAAGAAATTATGAAATTAGTTCATCAATATGGAACAGGACGAGATACTCTACGTTGTTTAGCGTTGGGTTGTATTGATAATCCAATGAAACGAGAAGAAATGGATTTAGATGATGCACGAAAATTTATTACTTATGAAGTAAGATATTCCATTTTGGATCATAATTAAAGAACTATAAAAAAAACATTGATTTTGTATAGACCAATATTACATTCGTTGGTGTTGTCGGTATGTTGGATCCACCACGTACAGAAGTTATTGATGCTATTCAACGATGTCGTGATGCTGGTATTCGTGTTATTATGATTACTGGTGACAATAAGAATACAGCTGAAGCTATTTGTCGACGAATTGGTATCTTTAAGGAGTCACAAGATACTCGAGGTAATGATTATATTTGTGGCAAGAGGATTATTTTCAAAAATCTCTTTGCGATATAGGTCTTGCCTTTAGTGGTCGTGAATTCGACGATCTTTCAGTTGAAGAACAATCGGAAGCTTGTCGTCATGCTAAAATGTTTGCTCGCGTCGATCCAGCACATAAATCGAAGATTGTCGAATATTTACAATCGCATGGTGAAATCACAGCTATGACAGGCGATGGTGTCAACGATGCTCCGGCATTGAAGAAAGCTGAAATCGGCATTGCTATGGGTTCTGGTACAGCTGTAGCTAAAACAGCAGCTGAAATGGTTTTAGCTGATGATAATTTTTCTTCGATTGTCTCTGCCGTCGAAGAAGGCCGTGCTATCTATAATAATATGAAACAATTTATTCGGTATTTAATTTCATCAAACATTGGAGAGGTAAAATTGATGAATATGAATCTGGATGAATCTCGAAAAAAGATTATTTCAGGTTGTTTGTATCTTTTTAACTGCTGCTCTTGGTCTACCGGAATCATTGATTCCTGTACAATTGCTTTGGGTCAATTTAGTTACTGATGGTTTACCAGCAACAGCACTCGGCTTCAATCCACCTGATTTGGATATCATGGAACGTCCACCACGTAATCCAAAAGAATCACTCATTACACCATGGCTTTTCTTTCGATACATGGCAATTGGAAGTAAGTTTATCGTACTCTATCTGTACATCACCATTTAGCAGCAGATTATGAATCCAAGTTCGATCGAGAAAATGGGACATTTAATTGTACGTTAATCGGTATTCTATCAGATGCCTTGTCATAAGTACACATAAAGTCAAATCGTTCGGGTTATTTTGACCTACTAGTTTATTGAATGGCGAAACTTTATGCATTTTGGTTAGTTAACTCATTGGATCATTCTTTGTTTTTGTTTAGCTTACGTCGGAGCAGGTACTGTTGGTGCCTCATGCTGGTAAGTGCTACAATTATCGGAGTCTATTAAATAAATAATAAACCGATTTAAGGTGGTACGTTTCGCATCACGATGGACCATTACTGACATGGACACAACTGGTGAGAAAATCAATAGAAACATGCAGTGGAATACTCATATCACTTGTTTTTCATGCTTACATATATATATATATATATATATATGTATTATTGTAGCATTGGGTGTTTTGCATGAAATTACTTGGGTTAGTTTGCACTTATATAATTATGTGTTCTTATTTAGAAACATCATTTTAAATGCCGTGGGGGTGGTAAAGAATGGGAAGATATTGATTGCGATGTCTTCGATGATCCTCATCCCATGACAATGGCTTTATCAGTATTGGTTACTATCGAAATGTTAAATTCAATTAACAGGTGATTATTTCGAATGATAGTGTTCAAACAGAGAAAAATAAAAAGCAAAAAAATTTTGCTTGTTTTAGTTTATCTGAAAATCAATCTCTTCTTAAAATGCCTCCATGGTATAATAAATATCTTTTATGTGCCATTGGCTTGTCAATGTCATTACATATGATGATTCTCTATGTGCCAATGTTTAACGTAATATCAATTCAAATGAATTACCAACGAACAAAAAAAAATGATGAACTATTCTATTTATTTTAGACCGTATTTCAAATTTGTCCTTTGACATTGGAAGAATGGATAGCTGTATTAAAAATATCGTTTCCTGTAGTACTACTTGATGAACTATTAAAATTTATAGCACGTCATTTTATAGACAGTAGGTTCATTCAAGAATGCATGTTGAACAAAACTACTTATGCATTATGATCCTTCCGAATTTGTGCAGTGTTTTCTTTTTTCGTTTCCAGAGATTGATTGTGAAGCAAGTTTAATGCATGATGTATTCCGATTATTGATACTATGGTGTTTATATCTGATAATTTTCATTTCCCGATCGTTTTTGAACAAATTGTTATGGATGATTTCGTAAAAAACTACTTGTATTTTTGTTTCCTTTTTCTGTTATCTATCTCACTGTTTGCTTATACGTGTTGGTATGATAAGCATGTGTGTTATTTATGAAAAATACAAAAAACAAACAACAATAATAAATCATGATGATCATTATTATTATTATTATTATTATTATTATTATTATCTTTTCTTTTTTAGTATCACCAAAAAATAGTGAAATAAATGAAGTCGAAGGCAAATAGATAAATTAAAAGAAGATTTTGTTTTTCAAATGCACTCAACGCTTTCTTTCTTTCTCGAAGAAAATATCGTCCGACGGTGATCACTTCATTTTCCCTTCTGTCTCTTGGAAATCACGCATAAATATAATCAGATGTGTGAGAAACTCGATCATTATTATTTTAAAATTGAGTACCTGCCCTTTGTGTTAGATTAGGATATTTTTCATAATATTTTTTTTCGTTTATTCTTGATTGTCTGTCTTATGTATCAAAGTTTTATTTCTAATAGATTGGATTGTGTGAGACTTACTTCTTGTCTTTTCTTTCTAACGATATATGACCCTGGAGAATGTATTTGCTACTCTCTTTCTTTTCCTGTATAATTTTTTTTACACAGTTTTGTCCTGTTTTTTTTGTCTGACACTCATAAACATATCTGTTGTTTCGTTGGGCACAGCAGTTTTGTTGTCCTGATTTCTTTCTTTTTGGAATATAAACACATACAACACATACACACACACACACACACACACACACACGCGATTTACGTGTTCAATATTTATCTTGATTTTGTCATAACTCAACAAACGCAAGGAGTCGTTGGTGGTCTAACAATGATGATAGGAGAGGGCAAACGGCTTATACCGATTGTCCAATGTATGAGTGTATACAATGAAGCGAAAGATGAATAACATACGTGTGTAGGCTGTGTTCGAGAGGAAAGCAAAAGAAGAAAAAAGAAAAAAAAGATGACTGATTCATACGATGTGCTATTTGCGTAGGTGATGAAAAATGTCATGCAATGAAATAGAGCTGTATTTTTAGATAAATCATTTTTTTATTATCTAGTATAAATTTAGTTGTTTCGTATAGCATTTTCGTTAAACTATACAATGGCATCACGTGCTAAAGCGAAACCACCAAAAAAGCGTCAGCAACGCGCTACATCGAACATATTTGCTATGTTCGATCAATCACAAATTCAAGAATATAAAGAAGCATTTAATATTATTGACCACGATAGGGTATAAAAGTTTTGTTTTTTTTACTTAATATTTAAAAAAAAAAATTTTTTTCTTATTAGGACGGTTTTATCAGTGGTGATGATTTAAAAGATATGTTTGCTTCATTAGGTAAAGTTGTAACTGATGTTGAAGTCGATGGAATGATTCGTGAAGCACCAGGCGATATAAATTTTACTATGTTTTTAACATTATTCGGAGAAAAATTAACGGGTACTGATCCTGAAGATGTTATTAAAAATGCATTCATGTCATTAGATGAAGATGGCTCAGGTAAAATATCCGACGAACGTTTACGTGAATTATTAATGACGATTGGTGATCGTTATACAGATGAAGAAGTCGATGAACTATTTAAGGAAGCACCAATTAAAGATGGCTTATTTGATTATCAAGAATTTGTTAAAATTCTTAAATATGGTAAAAAAGATCAAGATTGAATGCTAGCTCTAGTTCATATTCAGATATTGTAAAAGAAAGTGAAACAAATATCAGTTGTTTTTTCTTAAAGTTCATTCGTCTCTTATTTCCATACAAAACATTCGATAAAAATTTATTATTTTTTCCATGTAACATGCATTTTGAAAGTTGATGATTATTACTGCTTCATTTCTTTTTTATTAGAAAAACAAATAAATGGAAATAAATAAATCTTTTAATTTTTTCATTTTCAATGATTAATACAAGATAAACGTATTATGATAAAATTATCATGATTTTTGGGTTATGAAAATAAATATATCTTTGAATTCATTTTATTCATAGGTATGAATCGACAAAGTATTTGTTTTTATGCCAGCTATTCGATAAAACGATGAATATTACCTCTGAAAATTAATGAATAACTTTTCAACGCTTGAGTTTTGTTTCGAATCGCAGACGAAAAGATTGAAAATGATTTTCATTTTATAAGAATGCATTTGGTGGCTAAAAATATAGTTATTTGTATTCTCAATTTTTAGTTAACAGCTGATAAATAATTGGATTAAGTATTCTGAAGGAAGATTATATTTGTTAGCATTTATTAATTAATGCGGTGCGAAGCACAGCATTTATGTAGTCCGTCGCGAGTTTTTTTTGTTTCTTTCTAACTTAAGTACGCATAAAAAATCAGATTAAGTAGCGCGATGATCCAAAGAACCGTAAATGATAGAAAATTCATTCAAACTAGATATGAAACTAAAGAAGTCGAACTTGCTACATCTTTTTTTCCGATTAACAATAGTAGTTTCGTTCGCCTAAAAATATGATTCGAAAATGAAGGTTTTGAAAGGTTTTATTGTTTGATAATTTCGTGCTAATTAAAATGACGTCATCAATAGTTGTTAACCAATAATCTATTGCTTTACATCTGATTCAAGATAGTGATTCATGAAAATAATTAATCCTTCAATAAAAAAACCGTTAGAAAACTGGTTGTTACATTTTCAAAAAGATCTCCTAGTGATGAAATTCAATATGGTTGATTTAAGAATAGTGAATGCGAAATTTTTATTCAAAATTGGTATACGGAAATTTAAAAAAACAATCGATTCTAATGAATCTTAAAGTGGATCATATATTTTTTAAATGTTATTCTCACTACTTTCGAATATTCGGCTCGTGTGCTTCGCACCGCATTTCGTAGTCGAGTGAAACTCGAATACCATCTAGTCATTCATCAGTTGCAGATTCTAACTTGTCATTTGTATTTTCTATTAATAAAGAATGAACGATTAGATTGTTGAAAACAAGGGACCGTATTTTTATCCCATAAGTCGAAAAATATATTATTCAGTCATTTATTTTCAATCGTTTGTTCGGAGATAAAATTTCATTGGATTCAGGTTTAATTTTTCCTAGCCAAACATTAACTGCATCTCTCGTATTCACAAAAGTGAAACCTGGGCAACGTTTAGTCAGCCATGCAAGAATATCTTCAGATTGTAGACGTTGATATCCCCTTATTCGAAAAGCTACACTGGACAAATCCACGATTTGCTCGAAAACCTCTTTCATTAGTTCAACTGATCGTACATCTATCTGCAAATGATGTACATGTCGAGGTACCATCGATATAATACTTTTCAAATTGTCAGAGTATTTGTTGCAAGGCCAACAAAAATTTATAGCAAGCGAACGAAGATTGCGCACTGGCTTTAAAAGAGTATTAACATAAACCGTCGGATCATCGTCCAATTTAATATCAGAATAAAGAGTGATGGATAGGTGCTGAAGTTGTGAAATATCGATGAGTGTTGAAACAAACTTCATTGATTCGCGTATCTGTTCTCCACGTACGAAAAGAACTAAATCGGTCACTTGACCAAACTCTACGGTGGTACTATTTGGATCATCCTTAAACAAAAAACAAATAAAATAGTGTGTTTTTTGTTGTTACTGTGAAATACTAAATTCTTTATTCTATATATCGAGATGTCATGCCATTTATCAATATCTTACCCTTTTAAAGAAGGACGACATTAATCTTGTTGTCAGATCAACAACCAATGTACTAACACGACATGTTGTATTGCTTGGCAAATTGTCAACGGTCGAGAAAATTTTTCGAAACGGTTTTAGATATTTGAGGCGACTAATGCACATGGGTACTGTGTACAGATAAGTCCTGTATTTTGAACTTTTAGTTTGCTCACAGCAGACCAACCAATGTTTGTGTTCGAGCCAAAATGGTTGTCGGAATGGATCAATCAATCTCTTGATATCAAGCAGTGAATCTTGCCGAGGATGACATACCGTGAAGAAAAATTCAAATTTTTGAAGTTCAGTTAATTTATTTTGAATGAATTCTTCCCAACTGAAACATTGAGACAGAAACTCTGCATCGCAATTATTAATAATAAGCTTTAAATTCACAAGTGAAGGAGTTAACAGCAACAGAGAGTCGAGACTTGTTATATGTGTGTGATCAATACTCATCGTGAGAGAGGTCAAAGATCGATGAATCGTTGATGAACATGCGGCGGTTGATCTGAATTCATACACTGCAATATCGAACGTTTTTAGATGAGGTAATCGATTTAGCAATGTCAGAAACTGTTGGCTTGTACATGTCTGAATTTTCAGATTTTGTAATAAACAGTCCGTAGGCCACGAAATCCTATCGAATATACAACCGATACTTGTGAGACTTAGTTTGCAAAGATTTGGTAGTGCGATTGCACGTGTAATCATTTTTAATGGCGATATGATGTGCTGCCCTCGCGCATCCATAGTGAATGAGATGAGCGAATTCAGCTGGCACTGTTTGCTGATTGCCATTAGATCTTCTGCCGCGATATTGATTAGAGTCAAGTGACGCAATCGTCTGAACAGTTTAATATGGAACAACGACAAAAATAATCCAATTTGACCTGGAGTCTTCTCGTCATCGGAAAGTGTCAGTGAAATGACTTTCATCGGGCGAATAGAACGACAAATCGTATGAAAGTTAGGCTGGGAAATAGATCTTAAATCAATATCGTACCGATCATAAGCGTGAGCAATGCTACGAAATCGTCGACAAACATTTGCTACAGAGATTAGAATAGTTTCACAAGGCAGAAGATCCAAAAGTCGATAGAGTAATTCTGCTGGTAGTGTGTCAAGTGATGGCAAGCGTTCTGTGTTGCACATGATAAGTAAATTTTATGAAAAACAAAAAATAACTATGAATTACAACTTGTACATGTGTTTTTATAAGTTGCTTAACATTTTCGTCCTGTTCAGATGAATCATATTCAATTTTACGTTATTATACTTCCGATAAATTAGTCATTGGAAAATTCCAAACGATGTTTCATTAAATATCAACATTTGCCGAAGCGTAAAATGAGCCATCTGAAATGCTTCTAGAACACTATCGCAATCATTTCGACAATCTATATATTCATGTAAAAACACGTGTCTGTAATCAGATAATGTTCTATTCAGAATTTTAGTGAAGTCACTCTAAAAAATCAAGTCGCATGGAGTGTATAAATAAGACGATTCGTTCATCTAAACAAGACACTTAGGGCCATTTCTGATTGATCAGTCAAAATCTTTTTAAGACACTTCACGTGTCTGCGGATAACCGATTTGGGACACGTGCGTACGTACGCGTCTTAATCGATCCTGATTGGAGTATTTAAACCAATGTATTTAAGCGTCTTACAGTAGTCTTTTTTAGACGCTTTCATCAATCTGTGGTTCACTAATTCAAGAATTCATATTTTTATATGAACATTAGATATTAGAAAAAATATTCTCAATGAAATAATTTGTTTACACTTTACTTGAGTTAAAATTATATTTAAAAACTACAGAAATTCTTTTAAAATTCTTTTATATATATTTCTTGATGTTTAATGAAATTCCTCGAAGGTGATATTCTTGTGGAATAAAATATTATCTTCGAAAATATTTTATTTGAGTAAATCTGATTTTTGAGGAATTTCATTAAACATCAAAAAAAATATATAAAAGAATTTTAAAAGAATTTCTGTAGTTTTTAAATATAATTTTAACTCAAGTAAAGTGTAAACAAATTATTTCATTGAGAATATTTTTTCTAATATCTAATGTTCATATAAAAATATGAATTCTTGAATTAGTGAACCATAGATTGATGGAAGCGTCTGAGAAAACTCATGCAACACAAGTCCAAAACAAAACAGTCTTAAGTAATTCTTTTAAATAGACAATGTTAAAATGTAACTGTAATCAGTTATGTTCGATAATTTTTCTATCATCTAGAAAACAAATAGAAACCTTGAAAATATATTAGAAATAAATAAAAAAGAAATTTCGGTAAAATGGTTTGCATATTTTTAAAGCCCCTTTACTTCAGATATCGAATCAAGAGATACGGATCTCGTCAAAACCACGAATATCCTCAATTCGAGTTAAAATGTGAAGCAGTTCACGACAGAAAAATCATCGGAAAAACTAGCTCTGGAAAGAGTGAAATCCTAAATATTTTCTAGAAATCGAATAAGACTCTTTCCTGCCTGTAGTCACTACATGTCTAAAAACACGACGTATTTCGCGTCTGAATAAGACTTAAGACGGATAACATGTCTTGTTAGACACATGGCATCTTTTACAGTGGCGTGGTCTTTTGTACGCCGTCATTCCTCGTTCGTCTTTTATCGGTCAGGAATAATCGTATGCGAACGCTATCTGTCCGTGAGGAAAGGATTGGATAAATGATAGTTGACCAATAGAAACCAACTGTTATTCTTTCATATTTCTTTGTTTAATACTGAAATTCTGTCTATTCACTGACGTATTCCCTTTTGTTTTCTCTCTAAATTTACGATGTCCTATCCATTTCTTGAAATACTATTTCATACTTATCAATCCCAGATTGAAAATAAAGACGATGCACTTATTATCTTTACTCATTGGTGTTTAATTTCACATGGTTTTCAACGATTAAATGGCAATCAAGTATTTTCATTCTCTTCAGAAATAAATGAAATCTAAATTGAAAAAAAAACACATTTATTTTCTTAGAAAACTGAATTATTACCCAATGATTGGAAACAAAGACCTGATAATTCGATTACAATGGAATACACAAAAAATGATATCGGTTACAATTTAAAATTATTCGATGTTGAAGGTGTTTTCTTTGCTCATTTATTTGTAAGTAAATTAAAATAAAAGAATTGCTTCAAAATAGCTCTTCCATTTTTCCAGCGTAATAAACAAGGTCGTCATGTTGAAATCAATTTTAGTGTTAATGATCATGTCCATGAAAATTACAAAGAATTTCAATCGTATGAAATATCATCGGTCTATAACATAATCAAAAACTTTTCTCGTTTTAAATAGTGCATACAAAAATTTAAATGATTTAAAAAAAGAGTTTCATGAAAAAATCGAATCATTAACCAATGGAACTTCGGATTCAAATGTAAACAATGATAGTATATCATCGAGTAGTACGCGATCAGGTACTTCGTCGAATCAACAGCAAACTGGCGTACGTCGTCCTTTAGTCGACGACTCACTTATTGATCCATTATCTGTGGGACGAAGAACCCATCCATATGCCGGTGGTTGGTAAGTTTTGAAATCAAGCAAGTTAATTTTATTTCGACAAAAAACGTAGGGGACAAATGCCTGCTGGTTATGGTCCAGGTACTGGTGGATATGGTACTTCAGATCTCGATCCTTTCGGACGTAATACACGTGGAGGAGGTTTGTTTCTTGTAGAAATCATTACATGAACACAATCTATTATGATTTAGGTATGAATATGGATCCATCGATGTTTCAACCAGCAATGAGGTAAACATATTTAACTGGTTTAAATTGTTTTTCTACCATTGATCTTTTTTGTTTTGTTTTCTTAGACCGCCCATGGCTCGATTTCAGCCTCCAGGTCCTCAACGTGGTCCGTATGGCCTTGAGTACGTGTTTGTTTGTTTCTCTAAATTTGTTTTTTGGTTCATTGGTGGATTTTATTTTAGTCCATTCCAAGAACCAAATGCTGATCATTTACCAATACCTGGTCCACATTTAGATGACATGTATAATTAAATCTACATTCTTTCTTTTTTTAAATAAATGTTTATTTTCTGTGTTTTAATCATGATGAAAACCTAGCAAATAGACAAGAGTGTCTAATCATTCTTAAACGATTTTTGAATATAAATAAAACATCATATTCTACAGACAATCGATTAATTAAGTGGTCATGATTATAGATCGTTATTCATTTTATTTTCAGATAAATATACTATGGCATCTAATACTAAAATTCGTGTAACAGTCACTCTTCAACCATCAGGAAAATCAAGTGTAATAATTGTACAAACACTCGAAGATGTTCTTCGTCAATGTTCATCGAAATTTCGCGTTAAAGCGCGTCGTGTATTTTTAGCAACAACCGGAGAAGAATTATCAAAAGATTTACCTCGAATTTCAAATGATACTAAATTAATTGTAACATGTGGTGATGCATATACAGCAACAACTAATTCAACTTCGACGATCAAAAAAGATTCAGCAATTGATCCATCAACGGTTTCCATTCAAATTATTGCAAATCGAACATTAGTCGACGAAGCTGCTATTGATCAATTGAAAAATGTGGCTCGATTATATCCAAAAGTCAAGCATATTTGGGGTATAGATAATAGTAATAGTTTCTTTTTCAAGGGAGAAACGGCGGATTTAAATCCAAAAAATCTCAAAATTGAAAAACATCCTCCCCCTGTGAATGACGTAGGTTCGACCTGAAATTCTTCCCATATATATATATATATGTTCCATGATCCATAGAAGATCCTAAAAGTTTCAGCTCGAACAAATGTTTTCTTCTTAAAATATTGAATTTTCAAACCGTGTCGTGAAATGATCATTTCTGGCGTATTCATTATCTTGAGAAGGAAGCATCTGTTTGCGCTGAAAGTTTTAGAATATTCTAAAGATCGTGAGACTTACATATGGAAAATATTTAGATGGAAATTCCATCATTCACGTTTTGGATTTATGGATTTTGAAAATCCCAAATCCGCCTTTTCTTCTTGTTTTTTATTCACACACCCACATCTGGCAAATCGAGACATGTCGCTAAAAAAATTCTTTTTCTTTTAAAATTTAAAGGTATGCCTGATTTACATGTTGGCCAATCGACACCTATTGGCTGTGTTGTTGCAACCGAACCAACTGTTGTTTATCCTGAACTGATTGGTTCTGATATTGGCTGTGGAATGAGTTTTATACGAACAAGATTAGGTCATATATCGGAAGATGATGAAAGAAAACTAATTAAATGGACAAAGCAATTACAAGGCTTAGATGATTATCTATCAAAGGAGACAATAGAAGATTTTCTTCAATCGAATCTCGAATGGCCAATACCAGTTGACAAAATTTCGAATGATCATATTGAAAATGAACAATTGGGAACTATCGGTGCTGGTAATCATTTTGTTGAGCTACAACGTATCGAAGAACTCCATGATAATACATGTGATGATCTCTCAACAGATCATCTCTATTTACTTGTTCACTCAGGTAGTCGAAGTTTAGGTGAGAGATTTTTACGTGAATTTGGCAAAGACAATGATCATACACGCGGACTTGAACGAGGAACTGATGCTTATGAAATTTATATGCAGAAGCATGACGAAGCATGTACTTGGGCGAAACGTAATCGAGCTTTAATAGCTCAACGTTTTCTTGCTTGTCTTGGTGATACAAGTCCACCGCAATGTCTTGTCGATATCTGGCATAATAATGTTGTCTTGAAAGAATTAGGATCGGAAAAATCTCAAGTACATCTTCATCGTAAAGGTGCAGCACCATCCGACAAAGGTCGGATTATTATTCCGGGTAGTCGTGGTACACATTCCTATCTTGTTGAATCCATTGATGAAAATCAAGAATCATCTGGATATTCATTAGCACATGGAGCTGGTCGAGCTATGTCACGTTCGAAAGCTCGACAATATTTTAGTGAAAAATATCCAAATACGGATCGATTGAAAATAACCGAGAGTTTAGAATCACATGTTGTCTGCGATGATAAGCAGCTCCTCTATGAAGAACATCCACAAGCCTATAAGACAATTGATGCTGTTATTGATGATCTTGTTGAAGCAAAACTAATACGAGTTATAGCAAAAATGAGACCATTGATTACATACAAAACCCGTTTAACGCATTGAGAATAAATAAATATTTTTTTTTCTAGATTGAATCTTTCTTTTTTAAACTGATCAAATATTTAAAATGACTGACAGTAAGTAAAACAACAACAAAACAGCTTCGCTTAATAACAAAGTTCTATTTCATTTTAGCCGATGATGTCATGAATGAAGAACGTCAAATCAATGATGATTATAAAATATGGAAAAAGAATTCGGCTTTTCTCTATGATTTAATTATGACGCATGCACTCGAATGGCCCTCACTTACGGTTCAATGGTTACCTCATGTAACAAAGTAAGTTTTGTCGTGAAATAAATGTTTTGAGTGGAATGTGTATTATAAAACTGTTTTCTTTTTTAGACCTGAAGATAGTAAAGAATGCACTGTTCATCGTCTTATTCTTGGTACACATACATCGGATGAACAAAATCATTTGGTAATTGCTTGTGTACAAATTCCAAAAGATGGTAGTGCAACTGAATCAACTCAATATGAATCCGAACGAGGAGGTAAACAACTTTGTATTTTCTTACATAAAAATATGAGATAAATTCTTACTACAGAATTCGGTGGCTTCGGTTTATTCAATGCTAAAATTGAAATTGAATTAAAAATAAATCATGATGGGGAAGTGAATCGTGCTCGTTACATGCCGCAAAACCCATCGCTTATTGCAACAAAATCTCCATCAGCTGAAGTATTGATATTTAATCATACAAAGTTATCGAGTCTACCTAAAGACCAAATAGTGGCTCTCAGTGCTGAAAATTGTCCGGAATTACGTCTTCGTGGACATACAAAAGAAGGTTATGGCCTATCATGGAATCCAAATACGAGTGGACATATTTTATCAGCATCCGATGATCATACGATTTGCTTATGGAATATTGAAAAAACACCAACAGAAGGAAAATTTGTTGATCCATTAGCAATTTTCTCGGGACATCAAGCTGTTGTTGAAGATGTTGCTTGGCATTTATTTCATGAAACACTTTTTGGTTCCGTTGGTGATGATTATAAATTAATGATGTAAGTTTTACAATGTAAATTTTATTTTCGGAACTTGATTTTGTCTTGTTTAGTTGGGACACTCGTTCATCAAATTATACAAAACCATCGCATGTTGTTGATGCACATAGTGCAGAAGTTAATTGTTTATCGTTTAATCCATTTTCGGAATATATTCTTGCAACTGGTTCAGCTGATAAAGTTTGTTCTTGCTTGAATAACTTAAATAAGTAAAAAAAGAAAACTTTTTTCATCTAGACTGTTGCTCTTTGGGACCTTCGAAATCTTAAATTAAAATTACACACATTCGAATCTCATAAAGATGAAATATTTCAAGTTCAATGGTCTCATCATAATGAAACTATTCTTGCGTCAAGCGGCACGGACAGACGTTTACATGTTTGGGATTTAAGGTAAATTTTCCTTGCCGGTTTCATTTTAATTTTATTGGTTTGCAATGTTTTTAGCAAAATTGGCGAAGAACAAACTAGTGACGATGCTGAAGATGGCCCACCGGAATTATTGGTAAGATAACAAAAACAAAAACTAGATGAACTTCAAGAATTATCTACTTTTAGTTTATTCATGGTGGACATACGGCAAAGATTTCTGATTTTTCATGGAATCCAAATGAACCATGGGTCATTTGTTCTGTATCAGAAGATAATATTATGCAAGTTTGGCAAATGGTAACAAAAGAAAAAATAATTTCCTCTACATTTTTTATGTGGCTTTCGTTTTTTAAATTTAGGCTGAAAATATTTATACGGAAGATGAAACTGAAGCAAATTCTGTCGATCTTGAATGAATATTCTTCTTCTTGTCTTTATATGTATATTGTATAGTTTGAAATATCTGTTAGAGAACTTCGGACGATGAATGTCTTAAAATAAATAAATAGATTAAATTTGATGATCAAATCAAATCACACTTTTTATTCCAATGCTAAAGGGTACAGGTGTTTTTCTTTCTTACACATCTACACCCACACTTTCCGTCTACTACAGATATATATATATATATATATAATTCAATTCTAATCGCCAATATCGAATGATAGACAATCAATCAAATATTTAGCAATTGTTTTATTCATTCAGCCAAAAATAAACACAAAATCTAAAAATTTTCTTCTCTACGTTGTTAATTATAATCGTCAAGGAACGACGTGTTTTTCAGTATTGTAACAGTCGGTCGCATTTCTCTTTGATGAACATGTATAGAGATATACGTGATAGGGTGGCAAGCATTTAAGAAACAGATAGTCCATGCTGTTCAACATCATCAAATAAATTGAGGCAACCTGAAAAAATTAATTCAGATAAATTATTATGTAATAATGTCGCTATTGCAAATCGTTTTCATCCACCGTTGATTTCTTCATCTAACAATATTCATTCATATTTTGACTTTTTACGATCATTTCTTTCTCCTCCGCCTTTCTCTTTTTGGCAAACTTATTCATTACTGTGTTCATCATTACCTTTTCAACTTAAACGATCCACTCATTCTCATCCATATACAATTGCAAACAATACTGCTCTTCTATCATCAACAAATTATTTTCATCGGTCAAATAAATCAAGAAATTTAAAAAAAATATCAACGTGATATTTGTTCAAGCGCTTTTTCAAGAAGTAATACATTACTTACACATACGGTAAAACGAAGATCGAATTTTCTGTAGAACAAATTCGAAAATTTTATTTCGCTTCCTAGCATATTCATACGGGTGAAAAACCATTTCTATGTGATATATGTAATCGAGCTTTTCGTCAACCGGGAAACTTAACGCGTCATAAACTAACTCATTCAACTGTAAAACCTTATGTATGTGAAATATGTGCGAAAGCATTCGATAGAACATCAAATCTTCGAACGCATCTACTCACTCATTCGTTAGAGTTAACAACAAATGAACACAATTTACACATCAATAACGATAAATTTAATTCTAATAAATGATTTATACATTTTTTTTTATTCAGAAATAAAATTCTTCTCGCAGAATCCTAGCTTATCGAACAATAATATACATTATATGGGTCTAGTCAATAAAATCCGCACCTTAGTCGCAAGTAAAAGCTTTTAAATTCATCAATATTTCAATACATTTATTAGAAAAACAGTACAAAACTATTAACAGCATACACAGATAAAGTAACATACAAAATAAAACTCTACTATTTGGCATGACAGGCGCCAGTAAGCATAAAAAAGATGTTTCGAATCAAATTTTATGCACTATTTTTAAAATTAACACTGCAAACCTATATTTTCTTCAAAAACTCTAATACATAATTCGGGGATATTCTTACTTTCTGGAATATTCAAATGTTTAATAAACATCAAAATATTAAAAATGTTCAATTGCGAAATATTATTCTAAATTAATATGAATATTCTGGTTTATCATGAAACAAGACACGTGAGATGTACCAGAATTTGAATAAAGAGTGGGTAAGTGGCGAGCTTCTGTCTTTAAAGCAGGACAAGAAAACTTTTCTCGGGAATTTCCATGTAACTCTGAAGTACAACGCTATTTTTCGTCTGGATTCAGATACTAACCTAGTTTAAATTATTCTGTTAACATTTTTTCGGAGGATATGAATTCATTATGATTAAGATATTTCTCTGACTGGAATGGATTTTCTCCAACATTGAAGAAGTCAATAAACAGTCGAATAAAAAAAACACCATCTTTCACATAGGCACTTTCGGAATCTGTAATAGCTTCAAGCGGACACAAGTTTTTGATGCAATATTCTTCATTCTTTTCACTGTTAGGGCGCATAAATGCAGGTGCATTTGGATCTGGTTTTAAGATGTATGTAATGTGCTGTTGTTTGTTAGATTGGTCCCATAAAACGAAATGGATAGGAAAAGAAAATGGATACGAAAGGAGGTTGCTATATTCCCCATTATATAATGTTAGAAAAATCGACAAGTACCATTTTTCTGCTTCAATGGTTGAACGTACAGAAATCGAGAATATATGACCATATTCTGAAGTCCTGAATTTTGGCGAATCCAATGAAAATAGCGAAGAGTTAGGATAAATGAAACGTAGCGTTACAGTCGCATCACTATCTAATAGTAGACTTGGAATTTCTTCTATGTCTCTTTCCGTAGCTTTCAGTAGTTCTTCTAAACGATTTGTGCCGTCGCGTAATTCTTTCATGGCTTTTTCATTTTCATGGTTGCGTTCTGCTAATTTCTTTGTTTCGCTAGAATTTTGATTCAAAAGTATTTCTATTTGACTTAAGTCGGTTTTTAAACGGTCGCAATCCTTTAATAGAATTTCATAGATTGAGAAAACAAGGTTAACATTCTCCTGAATATCCATCAATTCTCTAATTATTATGTTAGAACGATTCGTTATTACTGATTTATCATGATTTGAGCCAATATATTGCAAAATCATCATAATTAAACTATACTGATGTAGATCAGTGACATAGTGTGCTTCCATATCGTAACATTTTATCTACAAGCAAACTATTTTATGTAATCGATAGGAACCATAGTAGTCTATTACCGAATTTGCACAGTCAGGCAATCCACACGGCACAGATCGATGAATGCATAATTCTTGCCGATGTTCCTCAAATAGATTTATCGTAGAAAAGTGTTCATGACAATCGGCACATTCTAAATTTGCATGCATGTCTTGTAAATGGTTCTGAAATGAAAACATTTCAATATAGATATGATTTCAGATTAAGATTTAGAATGATTTATTTACCAGATAATCTTTGTACGATCCATTCCACGAGCACAAATAGCATGTGAGGATAACCATATTCAATTCTCTTGCGAGACCACGATCGGGTGATGCCTATTAATGAAAATGTATGGATTGAACGATAAAGAGACTTGAATAGTTTACTTCTTTTGTTTCATGTTCTTCATGACAATATGGACAAAGAAAAGGTTTTCTAAACTTAATTATTTAGCAATATATAGCAAAATTAGAAACAAATTGATTACCTGCTGGACAATCCTTTTGTCAAACAATGTTTGCACAGCAATATGCCGCAACACAGAAGTTGCGTTGGACTCTGTAATATGTGTTCACAATACACGCAAATAAATTTCTTGTTAATTTGATCTAAGTTTGCAGCTTTTATTCCAGCAAATGTCTTATTTGTATAGCTACTAGCAGACATCCCTATGTAGAATACGAAATCTCGAAGAAAAGAGAGCCAATTCTTTTGAAATAAAATCTAGAAAACAAAAAATGAATGTTTTTATATTCATTCTTCAAGGAACAGTCTTGAATAGTTTCCTTTTCTAGCCTAAGGTTTATATAGTTGGCAGCTTTCTTTCGGGGAAATAGTCAAGCGGACTGATCACTCAAGTAAATATTCTGTGAATGTATTTATGTGAGAAGAAAATTCCTTTAAGAAATACACTTAATGCTAGGAAGTAGCTATTTCTACTTCCCTGAGTTCATCCATGCCAACCAATGTTTTGTGATCACTACACACAGGCAGTCTAAGGACTTCAAGACTGAGTGTAAGCATAGCAATTTCAATTATGTCTCACTGTGGATACTAGGATTTTCTTCTTACGTCCTTCCCACATTCAATTACTGGGTAATCTAATCTTTTTTTTGAGAAATTTCATGTTGGTTGTATTTTCCACCAGTAATTACAAATCATCCCTTAACAAGCGAAGAGTTATGTCAACAGCTAATCTGAAAACTTTACTGATCAAAAATAGAAGTTTATTATACTAGTGTCTAACATCAAAATGTAGCTACTAAGCATAAAGTTAAAGCTTGCTTGTCATGTATGCTATTCGAAGATATGAGCATTGCCATTGTCTTTAACATTTTATTATTAGTTATCCATCGAATATAATTATTTAATAAACTTTCAATATTCATGTTTACAAGAAGCAGTCGAATGATAAAAGTGAATTTTTTGCAGCTAAATTTTTCTCGTCTAATATTTTTTAAATATTTATTAATTTACGCACAAACATCAATGGCATACAATATTTTGCTTGCCTATGAGTTACTCTAGTAAATTTAATGACTCTATACCCAGTAAAAAAAGTAACAATATATGTGTATTTTATATGGTCTCACGTTAGTTGTATTGTGTAACCGATGATGAGTCATCAATGTGTCGATTATTTTGAGAATGAACTTTTACGCGTATTCATAAAAAGAATATATGACTAATTTTTATCCAAAACGCCGAGTAAAATACAATACTTTACCAGTACATTTGATGATTCTTGGAGCAACTAACATTATACAAGACGAGTATTCTTTTAATATTTTGCTTGGTTTTTTCCAACGTACGAGTATGACGAAATGTTGATGCATTTTGTTTATGGTCTCAAGTTTTACATCAAACAAAGCTGAGAACGTTAATCATTGATTTCGTTTCGAGTCAATTTCATGTTTATTTTTCTATTTCAGTGACGCTGTGCCTTAGAGTAAAATCAATGCATAGTGGAAAAAAAACCTAGATGACGCCACACTTCTACATTTTCTTGAGTCATATATCTATGCTGTGGCTGATTGATTGAAGACGTACAGTGAAGAAATTGTCAGGATGCATGAATATTTTATTTGTAAAACAACCACCCTCGTATTCTCCAATTTTCGTTGAATAGCATTAGGAGCCGAGAGTAGTTGGGGGTAATGGCAGCAGGTTTGCCCTACTACCTCTTTGATTTTCAAACACAGGCCCTTTTCGGATGTGGCTTTTAATTGAGAATCGACCCAAACCTATTGGATTCTAATGATAAAATCTAATACTTATTACATGAATAATTAAGGGAATACAAACAATAAAATTACTTAAACAGAATGTAAATAAAAAATTGAACTCGACTAGCAGAATTCAGGCAATGAGTTCACCTTTTATGGGGCTCTCACTGTATAACTTACTTCTGTATTACGTTACTTTTATGAATAACTGTTAGAGTACGCTACCATTCATGTTTATATATGTGAATGCTAACACAATTCTTATTCATTGAAATGTAATGCATCCACCTCTGTATCTTAGTCATTCGTCATGTGACAGTGAATGCGTGTCAAAAAGAGTCACAAGGATTTGTGAGTAATCTGATGAGAATGGAGCACCTGATATTTCTGTCGGTCCCAACAGTTTAGTATCAATCGTATTTATCCATCTGAGAATATAAATGTCTAATTAAGATATTCTATGCATTACTTTTAATCATTCATCAATATCACTGAACAAATGAACTGCATTCACATCCGATCCGTAGCCGCGAATTAGAATGGATGCATTCCTCTCCATATGTAGTTTATACTATTCTCTTTGATATATAGGCTAGATGAGCTTTGATTGATTAAGTATTTACGCCCAGTTATGGCAACAATATTTTCTAGATGACCTCGTATACACAAATAAAACAGCAAACATTTGAAAAAGAGTTTTTTTTTGGAGTGATGAGTAACTATCTAACATTTATCAACAATTGATGATAACTTATAACGGATATTTCTATGAGAAGTAATTAACTGTGTTCAGACTCATAACTTAGAGTGAAGATCATCAAATGACGTTTATGATGAAAAGACATAATTGCATGCCTTCGATAGAAAGTGTTTCTTCACTGGCAGCTGAACATTATTTGCTTTTATAAACGTAATCAGAGGTAATAATCAAATCATCCGAATTCGAACCTATCTTATAGCGAATAAGAACTTGTCCAAATATATGTAGACAATGTAAAACGCATCTAAATGCCTCTAAAATGCGTTTCATGATTATATAGAAATAAATTGAAAATGGTTTGTTGACATCAAAAATATCCGTTTACATAGTAGTTGTTCCCTGTAAAATTTGCAATTTTTGTGATAAAGTAAATGAAAAATGATAGACTTATCCTGTATCAGTACAATTCATGTTAACGTAGGTATTATTTTACAAACTATGTAATAGATTAGGAAGAAATTGAAAGGATTAAAACATATGGTGCTGGTATGTCGAGAGAAAGTATCATCTTTTCTTTTCTTTTCTTTTCTTTTTTATTTTAATTATCGAAATTACTCTATATTTTGCTTGTTAGATTCACTTTTTCGTACACCAAGGTACCGTTAGTATGACCCAATATGATCATATTGCTACAAACTATTTAGCATCCAAATTAAATAGTAGTTTTCGTGAAGATGTTGAGTATCATTCATTTGTTCATCGTCTAGTATTACGAGCATTGAATATCAAAGATGCGACGATAATTAATCTGCATCAAGTTCTTGCAGAATACCGTATTTTAGATCTTGGCTGTGGTGCAGGATATTTAACACGTAAGTAATCATTCCTATGAGAATGTGTAAGCTCAATCATTTGCATGTCAAATAAATTGTCTTGCGTATTTATAGGAAAACTTAGAGAAGAACTTGGCTGTAAGGATATTGTTGGTATTGATATAAGTTCAGCTATGATTGCTATTGGTCGTGCCTGTGAAGAAGCTCACCCTCTTGGTATTATTTATCATGTCTCAGATGTACAACATTTGGTAAAACCGGAGAAAAAGTTCGATTTTGTCGTTGCCTTTTATCTACTTAATTATGCCAAGACACGTGAAGAACTTGATCGGATGGTACAGGTTATTGGTGAGCATTTGACTGGTAGTGACAAAGGTTACTTTCTCAGTATAACTGGTAATGTATGTGCTGGTGAAAATGCTCTCGATCCGGATAGATATTGCAAATATGGTTACCGATGTGAGGTGGAAACACCGCTCGTTGATGGGGCTCAAATCAAAAACATACATTTCAATCCGGATTCTACGTCATTTTCATACATAACGTATTATTTTTCACCTAGAATTTATGAAGAAGCATTTCAGAAAGCTGGCTTTAAATATTTCGAATGGGTGCCCGTGGAAACTGCGTCTGAATTACAGAAGTATGAAGATCTCCTCAAATGTCCTCCTGTGATTGGCATTTTAGCTCATAAATAAACTAGTTCTTTAAAACAACAGTTACTTAGATATAGCTAATATACAAATTCTGAATTTATTTTTATTTATGAACAAGTGCAAATCCGTAGTGAAAAATAGTGCTTTGTTAATACACGTTTCCCAGATAAGAACATGAATCTAATCAGTGAATATTGTAGCTGACGTCATAAAAATTTTTAAATAAGACATGGATATTTATCATTCATATTAAAAATATAATTATGCAATACTTTAAGTGACTTTAAGCCACTATACTGAACAAAAAAATCGTAGAAAATATAGTTCCAATAATGCTGTCATACAAGTTTCTTAAGACTAGTCTGTTATGGGAATTAGTCAATAGGGGATGATTCAAAGGCAGAGATATGTCTCTTATTTCATGCGATTTCTCAATAAAATTTAAGTACTTGCAAATATTCATCCACTCTGTAATGTACTCCATTAATATTGTTGTAGGAAGTAGCCAAACTGGACGATTTGAAGGCAGCTCTTCTTCACACGTTTTAACGGACTTTTCGTAACATTCAAGTGTTTCCAAGTAGTCACCCATGTTACTGTAGACAAATGCAATTCTGTTGATCTCAATATGTCTGCTATAAGTCATAGTCTCTCTTCCTGTTACTCATCTATTTGCCTCCTCCTTTCTTCCTACTGTTCATTTATTAGCCTTTCTCTTTCTTCTCTCATTCCAGAGGGTATGACTGTGAATGTCGGTGCGACTACGAGCGTAACGAAGAGTATATGAACGTCCACATCCACATCAACGTACATGGAACCAATTTCTAGAATTCCACCCGATTCCGGAATTGATAATCACCGTATTCTTATTATTAGTCGGGTGTTCATGTAGGAGCATAGAAAACGTGCCTTCTTAATTCAACACTCCACACCCACACACTCAAGATAGTTTTACATTCAAAAACAGATTTTTTCCGGTAAGAATGTGCTCAGAATAGCACGCACTTCTTGGAGATCGACCAAGGGTGTATACATCGAGCGTTTAGACATATGATCATACTTCCACAGCAATCGCAAGAGCGGAAACCAGGTGAGCTCTTCAGGCGTGAGAAACTGATGC